TAATAAATCAATCAATCAATAACTTCGATCGATACCTACTTTTACTCCCTAGAGACTAAAAATTATGCCATTTTAGACCCGCAACACATGCATTAAAAACGGCTGTTTTTGCTGCAGTATGACGAAAAATAGTTTTATTCAAACAGCTGATATTAGAAAACGCGGTTCACTAACCCTTCTTCCACAACGAAGATGCGTTTTTGGAATTGAGGAAATCAGAACAGTTACCTGAGTCGGGAACCTACCCAACAACAATGTGTGATATGATATATGAGAAAAGTCCATTGATCGATACAAAGAGAACTTAATGAAGTAACAAAGTATAAAGTAAGTATGGAAAGCGCCGAAGTATTCTATAGGTCTGTTCGTGGCCCGATTCATTATCATATGATTGCCGTTTCGCGTGTCCACGGCCTCATTAATGTTTCTAATTATCCTACAACGGCATTGATCGAACCTCATGAAAAAACCATCAACTATCTGATTCACCTGTGATTTACGCGGGAAAATACGGGGCCGACTCAAATCGCGCGGGAGATAGGAGAGCAAACTAATATCTACTCTGCATGATCTACTCGGGAAAATATGGATCTTACTGAACTCAAGTGAGGAAAAGGTTGTTGGGGTTTTGACCTGTAGCTGCAACGGAATTCGTTAGTGTTTGCGGGTGTCAGGTATGAGATTCTTTATGAAAAATTGAACTATCTGTGATCCAAGCGGGAAAAGTTTGCTTTTCCCTCAATCGCACGGGAGATGAAGAGTTCCATAGTAGGGGAAATTGCCACCCCGAGTCTATAAAGTGTCTTTAAGATTTGTATAAAGTTGACTGGACAGTTTTAAATAACTAAAGAGTAAATTTACAATGTATTTTTAGTAATCTTCGAGACCCTTTTTATTCAACATTAGCTATGAATGGTATAAGCAAAACGCTTGAAAAATAAAGTGTCTTAATAAAAAAGTTTTGCTTTCAAGTTCCTCTAATTTGAATGTTACTTTATTTTTCTTTTCCTTTATGATCAGAATTTGCCCAAACCAAACCAATTCGGACGAACCGCGTTTACTAAGTTCTCCGGATGAAGATACGTCCCGAATTCCCGCGAAGGACGAATGGCAACGATTAGCAAAAAGCAAGGACGAAGTTGGCGGTGGCAGGGGGAGAGGAGGGGGGGGGGATAATTGAGGCACTTGGTTGAGATAAACAGGACATGATTGTTGAGGGCATTTGAGTTGAATGAGGGCATCCGGCACGGACCAAAATACTGTGCATTAACATAATCTGCTAAAACTGTCACACGGCCAGTGATAATGTTAATGCTCGAAACGGAGTCCAGAGCAAACTTAAAAGTTACCATTATCAACAAATTGTTGTAGCATGACAGAAGGCTTAATTTCACGTTCGAAACGTGTAGTGGTGTTAAAACCAGAATGTGAGTTATTCCGAGGCCTATACGTTGGTGAAAAGAAGTGTCCCGTCGATTTTGACAAGGTAGTCATCAAACATCTTCGAATGAACAGCTGTTTAATTAATTCAACTCAAGACTACAAGTATCTTTATATGAGTGAAGGTCTGTCAGGATAACGACTTGGTCAGACAAACCTATGTGCTCTATCACTCAAACTGTTACCGTGTCCCAATCGATACATGAGAGACCCCCCAATCGATGAGATGTAAATAAATAAATAAATGTCTTTATTAACGGGTCTATATATATGTTGTACCGAATAGAAAAGCGAATATGAAATCTTGGGCTTGGGGACCATTTAAGCTGTTATCTTTACTAAGAGGAATAACTGTTAATTTACTTTGTGTATGAATAAACTTACACATGGATTGAGTGTAACCAGCTATGCAAAGTCTGTAAAATCATTAATCCATCTACAAAGCATATTCTTAGCTACGTTGTTTATAACCATTTTGAATAACATAAATACACTCATAGAATTTAGTTTAGTTTAGAGAATCGTCCGCAGCTTTCATTTCCCTCCAATCATGACCGGTGTAAAAGTGACTTGTAAAAGGTGGCTGGTTAGAGGATTTTAATTGTTGACAACCGATTTAAGTGATGCACGGTTGAAACGTATCCGGATAAAAGGCAGACAAAGGGGTTTTTATTTTACAGAGTTTTTTAGAAATATTGTACCTATAGCCTAGAACTTGCATTATGAGTGTCATTCTACTATCCTTTCATTCTAGAATATAAATTACATTTTTCTTAAATAGATTCAACCAAAACATTAACACTTTCGAAATTGTTAAACTAGAAAGCGTTCTAGTTCTACCGTTGTACTGAACGTGCAATTTGAGGCTAGAAATGAGCGATAATTTAAACGTCATAAAGGCTGGCATTGCTGAACAGATAAAAACCGAATTTGCATGGAGTAAAACAGCTTAGTAGCGGAGTGTCAGTTTTTGGCCTCTCGGGTCGCAAAAACTTGCTTTTCGCTCGCGTATTACAGCATTAGCAAGGCCATAATTAGTGAACGTCCTCGTCTAATATGTGTTCTTGCACCACCGACTTTGGATCGCCGTGTTATTAATGTTCGGATGAATATATGTTTGTCTTTGCGGATTATAATTCATCATTTTTTGTAAGGTGATATCGATACTGTAAATTCAGTGTTTCTTTCAATGCGTAACAAGTTTAACAACTAAAATGTTATGAGCACGAATTTTTCTGTAAAAACTATGTTTTGTAATATCTTTATGTAAATCAGTTTTAAAACTAAAGTAACTAACTAAAATTAATTATTTCTTTTCCTGAATTCACCAGTTAAACTGTCAATTAATTATGATTAGTGCGATTCATAGTTCTTCCTTTAAAGTCTTTTGTTGGTGATCTGGGAATTTTATGAATCTTACAAATCCTGCTGAAACTGACCAAGACCCCCTTTATAAAAATAGAACATAAGATGGCCATATTATTATCAAACTTCATTAGTTCAACAAACTGAAAGAAATAATCAATCTTATTATTGTTACTATTATTGGACTCCACCTAAGGAGTATGTTTCCGAAGTATCAACAAACATTGTAATTCTGTATTACGTGTTCATGCCTTGAAGATGGTCGTGTGAGATGGCAGCAGGTGAAGACTCCGTCATACTCGCCACAGCCTCTGATATTACATGTTCATGTTTCAGAGGATGGTCGTGTGAGATGGCAGCAGGTGAAGACTCCGTCATGCTCGCCACAGCCTCTGATATTACATGTTCATGTTTCAGAGGATGGTTGTGTGAGATGGCAGCAGGTGAAGACTCCGTCATGCTCGCCACAGCCTCTGATATTACATGTTCATGTTTCAGATGATGGTCGTGTGAGATGGCAGCAGGTGAAGACTCCGTCATGCTCGCCACAGCCCTGATATTACATGTTCATGTTTCAGAGGATGGTCGTGTGAGATGGCAGCAGGTGAAGACTCCGTTATGCTCGCCACAGCCCTGATATTACATGTTCATGTTTCAGAGGATGGTCGTGTGATATGGCAGCAGGCGAAGACTCCGTCATGCTCGCCACAGCCTCTGATATTACATGTGCATGTTTCAGAGGATGGTCGTGTGAGATGGCAGCAGGTAAAGACTCCGTCATGCTCGCCACAGCCTCTGATATTACATGTTCATGTTTCAGACGATGGTTGTGTGAGATGGCAGCAGGTGAAGACTCCGTCATGCTCGCCACAGCCTCTGATATTACATGTTCATGTTTCAGAGGATGGTCGTGTGAGATGGCAGCAGGTAAAGACTCCGTCATGCTCGCCACAGCCTCTGATATTACATGTTCATGTTTCAGAGGATGGTTGTGTGAGATGGCAGCAGGTGAAGACTCCGTCATGCTCGCCACAGCCTCTGATATTACATGTTCATGTTTCAGAGGATGGTCGTGTGAGATGGCAGCAGGTGAAGACTCCGTCATGCTCGCCACAGCCTCTGATATTACATGTTCATGTTTCAGAGGATGGTCGTGTGAGATGGCAGCAGGCGAAGACTCCGTCATGCTCGCCACAGCCTCTGATATTACATGTTCATGTTTCAGAGGATGGTCGTGTGAGATGGCAGCAGGTGAAGACTCCGTCATGCTCGCCACAGCCTCTGATATTACATGTTCATGTTTCAGAGGATGGTCGTGTGAGATGGCAGCAGGTGAAGACTCCGTCATGCTCGCCACAGCCCTGATATTACATGTTCATGTTTCAGAGGATGGTCGTGTGAGATGGCAGCAGGTGAAGACTCCGTCATGCTCGCCACAGCCTCTGATATTACATGTTCATGTTTCAGAGGATGGTCGTGTGAGATGGCAGCAGGTAAAGACTCCGTCATGCTCGCCACAGCCTCTGATATTACATGTTCATGTTTCAGAGGATGGTCGTGTGAGATGGCAGCAGGTGAAGACTCCGTCATGCTCGCCACAGCCCTGATATTACATGTTCATGTTTCAGAGGATGGTCGTGTGAGATGGCAGCAGGTGAAGACTCCGTCATGCTCGCCACAGCCTCTGATATTACATGTTCATGTTTCAGAGGATGGTCGTGTGAGATGGCAGCAGGTAAAGACTCCGTCATGCTCGCCACAGCCTCTGATATTACATGTTCATGTTTCAGAGGATGGTTGTGTGAGATGGCAGCAGGTGAAGACTCCGTCATGCTCGCCACAGCCTCTGATATTACATGTTCATGTTTCAGAGGATGGTTGTGTGAGATGGCAGCAGGTGAAGACTCCGTCATGCTCGCCACAGCCTCTGATATTACATGTTCATGTTTCAGAGGATGGTCGTGTGAGATGGCAGCAGGTAAAGACTCCGTCATGCTCGCCACAGCCTCTGATATTACATGTTCATGTTTCAGAGGATGGTTGTGTGAGATGGCAGCAGGTGAAGACTCCGTCATGCTCGCCACAGCCTCTGATATTACATGTTCATGTTTCAGAGGATGGTCGTGTGAGATGGCAGCAGGTGAAGACTCCGTCATGCTCGCCACAGCCTCTGATATTACATGTTCATGTTTCAGAGGATGGTCGTGTGAGATGGCAGCAGGTGAAGACTCCGTCATGCTCGCCACAGCCCCGGCCCCTCCTCACGTCAAGCGTGAACACGAGCATGAGCCTATCAATCTCAAATCCGAGGTTAGTAAATATACCATTAAAGCCAACCATTTATCTTTTAAGTTATTTTTTCATTTTTAATTCGTTTCTGTTTGCTATACGTGCTGTTTCTGTATGCTGTCGAAGTGTTAACAGCTATCACCATCGTTTTTTGATTGAATTGCTCGTTTTCTCCACTGCATTAAAATTGACACAAGAGAGGAACAGCATATTATTGTTTGTGCTGCAGTAAAGTGGGTGGAAGTTGCGGGTTCAAATATCGCCAATAACAAAAACACACGCTATGAAGAGTAATGTAACCTGGTAGTTCCGATCCCTTACAGTTGTATGTCCATCTATTGAGGGGAAACCCTCTCTCTGAAGGGTGTGCTTCGGCAGCCGGTGAGCCTGATGACCTTAGGTCATCCTCCCATGATGTACCAAAGGTTGGTGCATTAGCTTCGGCCTACATCATGGGGCCCGGGTATGTTTAATTATAGGTACCGGGCTTGCAGTCAGAGAGCTTCATGCTCTCATGACAAAACAAAATGGAATGGAAAATGGAATGGAATAAAATAATGGAATGTATGTCCATCTGTGAATAGGTGATATTGGCGTCTCAGACGAAACAAAACTCTTTTGTATTAGATTTGTCTTTAAAAAGCCATTTAATAATTAATTTTTTTAATTTTTTTATAGTACCCAACGAATATCTTGGAGTTAGTCACTATTGAGAACACATCCTTCACAAAAACATAATTAATCCTTCGATTATCAACATTATGTCTGCTCACAAAATAATTTTGACTGTAATCTTGGCTGTAAATTAGCTGGTTGAATGATCACGGTCAGTTCGTTATCCAGGAGTTTTGCAGGAGTTAGGAGGAGGTCTGAGGAGGAAGTAGGAGGGGCTAGACGGGATTAGCGGGATCGATGCTGAAGTATCAAAACTTAATCGCATCACTTATACTTAGTCGGTAAGCTACTTAGCCGCGGCCAATTGCAACTACTGGCCCAGCCGAGCTAGATGTCAAGACTGTTAAATTTTGCAACTCCATTTGCTCTACCGTGCCAACACTAGGCACACTATTGTACAACTGGGTAAGAATTGGTTTTGCGTTAGGATACACTGTCAAATAGTATTAAATTGTTACAATAATTAATTTAGGAATTAGTGGGTAAGTAGGTTTGTACATAAGGCAAGTAAGTGTTCGAAAATTATTACTATGTAATTAATCACAATCTACGTTTACCGTTGTAGTTTTTCGAAGAACTTTTCCTTGCATGGTTAATATGTTAGAATATGCACAGAAACTGCCAAATTCGAACATATTTTATCTTGTAAGAAAAAGTTATTCTCTATGGCTAACTCTACAAAGGTGCGACGCCAAAACCTGACGACGGCACGTCCTCCCGATGACATAGCCTACCGCAAGCTTACTGATTCCTACTAATTCATAAATATTGTCGGGGAATTGTTGACGTTTGTGGCAATCACGTTTACTACTGAACTCACTGATTTAGCCATAGTTTTGGCTTTTATATCTAATTTTATATTTATAGATACTTGGTTTGTACCCATGGAATCAAAAGGAGACATGATGATCTGACGTTGAATGTTAACAGGCAGAAGTTTCATCAGTACTTTGTGATATACATACATATCATACATACATGAAATGTACAACGCCACGCAACTGATTCAAACCACAAAAATAATCATAATTTGTTGTGGTGTGTTTGTTTAAACTAAGTGGTAGGTTGTGTCATTTATCGTAGGAAATACGTAAGATTGTCGTAGGTAAAACTAACACAAAATTATACTATCGTGTCTTATTCTTGTTAATAGTACAAATCAAAATTATTTATATTCTGTGTGGTTATATTCAAAAGCTAAATTTTCGGCTTAATTAGCTAATTAGTTTATAGTGAATGTCAGACTGTCACAAACGAGTACTTAAACTTGGTAAAAAATTAGTATCTCAAAAGGTAAATGAACGAAAACAAAAAAAATCTAAACATAAATATATATTTTAAAACGTAATAGATTATTGATGAGCTACGTTAAAACAACTAAGTTGCTATATTAAATAATTTAGCCATTACTAACTGTACACGTTATTGTTCCTCTGTTTTAACAGTGTTAAAACAACTCAACAGAACCAACATTTCCTCGTATTCTAAACGATAAGTAGTATTAAAAGTGGAAACCAATTATAGTTTTTATCTTATTACAGCAGCGACATTCAAGTTATTGTTTTAAACTCTACTGTGTAGTTAAATTTAATAACGACTAGTCATAGGAACATTTTGTTGAAAACCAGATTTCGGATGAAATTCTAGCAAACTCGAATACGATTTACCGGAAGCAATCAATTACTATTTATTTTGTGTTATGTACACTTTTAAGACCTAAATCACACTACAAAATATCAACAAACATCAAAGTTGACTGAAACCCAAACCGCCACAAATGCTGATAGCATTTGAATACAGACGATTCGGAGAAACCGGGTTTACAACAGGCGGCGTCTAGGTGTAAATATTCCGTTCGATTCAATTCCCAAGTACACTCGGACAGGAGAGATTTGGAGGGAAGCAGGGGGCGTGAAATGAGCCCTTTGCCGCCAAAACATACGCCCAGGGCGGATAGATACACTCTATCAATCTTGGGTAGCGGTCTGGGATGGATTAGGCAGACAAAATGGACCGATTCATGATCCGATGCATGTTAGGTGCAACCGAGTGTCCATAGCTGATTGTATTATACCGCTCCAAGTGTTGGATCAGTAGATTGGCTGGTTTTAGTTTTTCGGGGAATTTTTTGTGGGTTTATTGACTGAGTAAGGAAGTATAAAGTAAGGAAATAGAAGTAATAATCAACGTGCGGTTAATAAAATCTATTTCCTGTAAAGACATATTTTGTGTTGAATTAAATGTGTTTTATTGAATGTGAGTAATATAAAATATACAAATAACTTTACTTAAGTATGTCTCTCCTACAGTTTTTTTAAGAACTATAATATTAGTGAAAGGAGTTATGCATTGTATAAAATGTTCTCCTCCTCTGAGACTTTTAATTTTTAGATTGATGGATAAGATCTTAAAGTGAAACTGAAATAACCAAGTATGGCATTGCTACGAGCTATTTCTGTTTGGTAAGATTCGAACCCGGCTTCCTACGACAGAAGTCTCTAAAACTCTAACAGATAATAAATAAGGGATATTTAAGTTTACATTCAAATTTGAATGAAACAAGTTTTGGCAGATAATTCAAGTAAACAATTAATAAAATTTCGGCATAATTTGTGAACTAGTTCAAAAAACTCTATTCCCCCAAACACTCTTGTAACTTTGTGTTTCTTGTTTAAAACTCTTTTTTAACTGTCCTAACAATATTTATTTTTGGTGAAAATATCTCATTTGCATTTTTGTTAGGATTTATTGCAATGTTTTTTATTATCTTATGTTTAAAAACGTATCACAAATGCTGCACAACATATTTCTACAGTATTTTGATGGTACTTCAATAGTGGAACGTCCAGGACGCGTATGTTCGATTCCGTTAACCAAGCTTTCATATTTCTTACTTCCCAATTATTTGTTACCCATCATATACATAAAAATGCTCTCTCACCAGTCAACCAATCAGAAACCACTCTCTAAACCTGACCTTTTACAATTATTACATTAACACAGAATTGGTCACCCCACTTACCTGAACACTATTAATACTTTACCTCATCAGCCTTATCTCGCTAAGGGTTGTAATAATAGTTGTGGCTGCGGCTCTACGTAGTTACCCCTCTGAGGGGGTGGGGGGTAGTGTGGGCTAATTTCACGGGTAGTGCTCCACCCTCCCACCCTTAACTGACCAACTTGCTTTTTACTTATTGTTAATTGAACATGGCCTGGCTATCGGCTACACTCAACAAACCCCCTTCTTATTGGCTTTGTTTATAAGTTTCGATTGAGGTTACATCCTTGGATACTTGGATGTAGAGTCGTGTACAGTTCTAACTATGTGCTGTTATTTTTTGTTTGATTATTTTGTTAATAGTTTGTTTTTTTACAATAAAATAAATTCATACCGAGCCTGTAATAAAATATAATAATTTCAACATTGTAGGGATACTTTAAACCGTGTTGGATATTCTTAATATTTTTTAAATGTTTTTTCATTTCTTTAATTTTTTGATCAAAATGTTTTATAATTTTAAAACTAGCAATATTGAGCGTATAAATTCAAGTTTTTTGGTACAGTTTAACATCAACTTGTTGATCATCCATTGGTACAGATGAACAGAATTTGAGCAGAAACTTCACAGAAACAAACAGAATATTTCACTCAGATTCAAAAATACAGAAATTACCAAATGACAAAAATAAAGGATCCCAGAATCACTTAGTATGAGAAAATATAACCGGTAATAGAAAAACAGACGGGCACAGGAGTATACGTTTAAGTGTATTTATTTTTTTTACAATATTTATTCCTATGAAAATAGTTACAGCAAGGGATATATCGATCACCGAAGTCCACAGGAATGACATTAGAAACGATCAAATTAAAGCGACTCAGGCGGTGGAGAAGGAACATAGCAGATATAAGGTGCAGGGGATATATCGATCACCGAAATCCGCAGTAATGACATTACAAAACGATCAAATTAAAGCGACTCAGGCGGTGTAGAAGGAACATAGCAGATAGAAGGTGCAGGGGATATATCGATCACCGTCTAAAGTCTGCAGTAATGACAGTAGAAACGATCAAATTAAAGCGACTCAGGCGGTGGAGAAGGAACATAGCAGATAGAAGGTACAGGGGATATATCGATCACCGAAATCCGCAGTAATGACATTAGAAACGATCAAATTAAAGCGACTCAGGTGGTGGAGAAGGAACATAGCAGATATAAGGTGCAGGGGATATATCGATCACCGAAATCCGCAGTAATGACATTAGAAACGATCAAATTAAAGCGACTCAGGCGGTGGAGAAGGAACATAGCAGATATAAGGTGCAGGGGATATATCGATCA